TGACAATAATACATTTACTCTATAATTTCTGAAATTCTCTTGTACTCTGAATTTACCTCGTTTAAAATTTGAAGGGAAGAATATTATTTAGGACATCTCGGAGGATTTTATTGATATTATTATTTTTAAGAAGTTACTATCATTTTATAATTCACAAAAAATTTACTTTTAAAAATGGTCATAACTTACTTAAAATCATTAATATCAATAAAATCCTCTTATATGCCTTAAATATTCTTACATACACATTCTTCTTCTTATTTGATAATGTGACCGAAAATTGATCTGAGGAAGAATCTTAAGCCCGGGTGACTCCTGCGTAAGAATTCGTTCCAAAATGAGGGGTGTGACTCCGGAACTTTGGCTGGTAGAGCTTTTGAAAAGCTATTTTTATTTAGAGCTCTCTTAAAATATAGGCAGCCCTTGAAGTTAGCGGTGTGGTCCCCATAGAAAAATGCACATTTAGCTGGACTATTGCAGTCATTGGTGCACTCGTTAGTATGATGTTCCTCACCACATTTTACGCAGCGGCAGACGTGGGTGCAATAGTTCTAACTTTCTAAGTGTGACATGAAGATTGGCACTTATGATGGCATAGCAGAAGACTGCGACTCTTTTTGTGTGGTTTTTCGATTATCACTTTGGTATTAAACTAGGTGATAAAGACGAATTAGATAGAAGATGTTTTGAGGTGTTGTGTATGCTTGGTGAATCAGTAACAGTTTTTATAGATTTATTATACGACGACATTGTCAGTTGGTCAAAATGGTCAAATCAGTCATATTTTATAATTTCTTAGTCATTAGTTCTGATAGATTGTTTAGTCGAGACCATACACTACGGGTGCTTTATTATAAAAATAACCAACCGACGTGACTTCGAGATGTTGTTTTGATTTTATTTGATGTTTATATTTATGTCGTATTTTGTAATTTTATATCCAGTGGCCAATGCTTTCTCATATATGCTCATTGTTCATACGAGACAATTAAAATGTAACGCAATTGTATTAATCATATATACCAAGTACAATAATTTCATAGTTTCAAAGTTTTAATACAAAAACATTGTTGACGCATTAACTTATTTTGTAAATAAAATCTAATATAAAATGACCGGGCCACCAGGCCATCTGGAAAATTCCTATTTCCAGACCAGCCACTTCGCCCCTGTGCACGAGTGTTCATGTTGAACGTTACATCCGAACTGAACTCAAGCGTTGTAAAAAAAAAAAAATGGCATTCACCGACATAATAATTATGTAAATAAATATTATTCTCTTGTTATAACAATATATTTGTTTAACTAAATAAACATCTTATTATACATTTATACGGATTAGAAGCAGAACGCTCGTATAAAAGATCGAGAAATATTATTTTATCTTATTGTATTGCTCAACGTTTACATCAATTTTAATTTTGTTTTATATTAAATCAAAATGTCGTCTTTTAATATTAATTTATTATCGATTACAATTATAGTTTTTTCAATTTTTGGTTCAGGTCATACAGAATTAAATGAAACAACTCAAGATATAGTTTTTAGTAAGGATTTCTTTTTTGCATAAAATGATTGTATTTGTTATTGTATATTGGTAAAATATTTTAGAATTAATTAAATTTGTTTTTATTTTCAGGAGCTTGCATCTGTAACAATTTTAATTAATCTTTAGTAACAAATAATAACTAAGAATATTTATAATATTAAGAGTAATATTAAAAAAATTTAAAGTTTGATGATCATGCATCAGCATCATGTACATTCTTAAAATTATGACCATTTTTCCCATTTCATTAAAACGATAAATTTCGAATCTATTTTTTATTTCCATATTAATGTCAACTTGTGGTATTTATAAGTTATTAAATCTTTTAGGAAAATATCTTCAAATTTCTCTATGTAATATTTACACTACCTAAGTAACCTTAAATCAATTTTTGATATTTTACAAATAATAAAAAATAATTTTAATTCAATATTGTAAAAGTAGTATAAAAACATAAAATATACAAACGTTGAAATGTATTCAGTTTTTAAAATATATTTATTATTAGCCATAGGTATTCGAAAAAAGTCTCCAGAAAATAATTCATCGGAACAATGTATTCTGGCTTTATTTTTTTTTTTTGTGAAATGACTGAAATGGTTTTATAAGAATAAGTACGAACCTACCGGGTCGTGATAGAATAAATTCACAAACTGAAAAATAATTGAGATATCTTATAGTTTCTGTTCTAAGATTCATTAGTTATTAATTAATAATTAGTTAATAATTATCTTAACATACAACAAATTATTGTTTGTATCATATAAGGTCTTTAAAATAATCATTAAAATATACTAGGTACCTACAGTTATTTTATACTTAAAAAATTGTATGGAACTGTCACACTTTGTTTTACCCATATCGGGTTATTTAACTAAGTATTATTTCATAAATTATTAGTAAGCTGCTTAAAACAAGCTTTAGTGACCGATGGTTGATTCATTAGAGATAAGTGAATCATTAAATTCATCAATTGTTTGTGTTACTCGAAACAAGATTTTACGATTTCAAAAAATGTCCATAGTTTTTTAACCTGATACCCGATATAGGTGTTTCAAACATTTCGCTATAATTTCTTTACCTCTTTACCTCCTTCGCCATCTAAAAATGCATATTTCATCATTCAACCGTAAAATATAATATAGGTAGTAGGTACCTAAGTACCTTTACGTGTTTATATAATGTATTATATATGTATTAAAAATTATAATATACCTATTTATAATAATCTTCAAGTTAAAATAAATATATAAGTAAATAAAAGTAAGTTCATAAATAAAATAATATAGCAGGTGATCTATAGGTAGTCTATACATGGTACACACTTTACTTTACTATAATACTGTTTGTCTATCCTAAATATACTTGCAATATACAAATATCCTATAGGCCATGGATTTTTAACCTTTTCTGGACCATGGACCCATTAGAAGTATAAAATATGATTACGGAATCCCTTCCCTCCCCACACACACAAAAAATATTTATTTAATTATCATGCTAAGACTTAACACAACATTAAATCATTGTGATTAATCACTTTTTATAATTGTTTAAAACAAGTTTTAATGTGACATTTGCTGTTTTTTGATTGGAATATATTGCCTTAAAATTTGGGACCGTATTAGACAGAGCAATTCACATATCGTTCTTAATGTCCAATCGATTTCTTGCTTTAGTTTTAATTGTGACCATTGTAGAAAACCCAGACTCACAGAACTATGTAGTAGCGAATATAATCAGAGCTCGCGGATAACCTAACCTATATTATAACGAACACCAAAATTTAATTATATTTTTTGTTTGAAAACCGGTGTGTACCATTTCTTTTGATCTCAAATCAAATAATTCATATTTAACAAGGTCTGAAATCTGAATCATTAATATTGCATTTAAGTCTACTAGAAAAGAACTGTGTGTAACCATATTTCTGCTTTCGAGTATATAAAATACAAATAATTGCCAAATACATTTTCAAGCACATCAAGATTTGCACAAATTTGCGTTTTATGGAACTGGATAAAGCAATATTATTTTTTGAAAGCTCGTGTTGGAAAGTCCGCTAAATTTTCCGGTTGAAGTCTTCTTTTCCAAACATAAATTTTATTTACAAATGCGTTTATTTTTTCGAACGCTAGGACGCGTGTCACTTCTCGTCATTAAATTGATATACTTACTTATCTTTACTATTATATATTATAAATGTACAGTTTCTACTTTAAAGGTTCATCAAATAATATTATGAATTAATTTCAAACAAATTTATTTTTGGGTTATTTAAAAAAACTCACAGCCGACCCGTGGACCCCCGAGTAACCATCTATGGATCCCCGGTTAAGAACCTATGCTATAGCCAAATCATACCCCCATCCCACCACCTCGGTATAATTGTATTCCCTTGATATATATTTCATCAGGAATAAATTATAAAAATAACCTAGGAATATCTTACAATGGTAAAATTATCCTAGGAAAATCTCACCACCAAGTAAAATTATCTGAGGGTGAGATTTGACTGAAATGCCCTCTGCATTTTATATTTCACCGGGTTCGCTGCAGTCAGTGGCTTGTGGGGACCTAACGGCTGAAGCCTGGCACCATAAATAATATTCTGATTTCTTATTTCTTATATTATCTATTTATCTTTGCCTAATACATACATTTATGATTTATTGAGAAGATTCGCACCCATCCGCCATTCAACTTTCAACGTGTTAAGGTATATATATAATTTTTTTATGGTGAACTTGAAAGTTACCTATACGCCTTTAATAAAACTATAATGTAGTTACCAATTTATGTATTATATACCTAATATATACTATACAGTAGACACACTCATGGACTTTTTACGAATAATTAAAATCAGATGATATCTTATCAGCAATAATTTGCAATGTAATATCGTTGAGAAGTAATTTATTTTATTTTTTCGTTGTTTGCTCCCAAAAGATGATTTTCTTGGGATTAAACTAGTGCCATGTACTTTACATATTATAGTATAGGTAGGTATATAATTAAAAACAAGGTTATTTTGGTCAAATAACAATATTTTATAATATTAAAATAGATACAAAGGACTATGCACTCATATGAATTTGATCATTTTTCATGTGAAGCATAACTCGAACGACAAAAAATAAAATAAATGTACATAGAATATACACAGAATATACGGCCAATCATCAGATTATATTAATAACATAAAATTACAAAATATTTTAAGTTGTATATTCTACTTATATGAGAAGAAAACATACACAATTATTTTTAGTACAATATAAAAAATGTATCTTTATTTGCATGAATAAAATAGGCTTTTTCTTACATTTAAATATGAAAATAATTTTATAGATAAGATAATAAATAAATATTTATATATTCAGGATCCTGATTGTACAGATTCAGTACCACCAATGTAATGGACAGTAGGAAAAGTGGGAGGTAATTACTTCTATTAATTTGTTGGACGTCATCAGTATGCATCTCACAAAGATTAAAAAAGGATACAGAAAAAGTAAAATTGGTATCTCCCAATATTCAAGATTTACGCAACTACTAGGGAGCATGGACAACCGATCTTAAATGATGATATTATATCATCAATAATAATTAAGTATAATTTGAGGGTTTTTAGGAACTCAAAAAACTTCAGCAAATAAATTCAATGTTAATTTAATTATAAAAATAAATAAATAAAATAACATTTCATGAGTAATAATATTCTTTTTTTATTGAAAAAAAAAACAATTCTTCATAATTGTTAACATTTTTTTAAGGATTATACCAAAGTGGATCTTGCTGCAAAAAAAATATATTTTTATGAAAAAACATAGTAAACGGAAATTAAAAACATTAAACTTACTTCTTGAGTTTTGGCTTTAACTTTTCTTTCAATAAGTTGTTGTAGTGCTTCTGATCGCACTGATAATGTGTCTACTTTTTCTAAAATCTGTTGGTAAGGGGATAGAGGTTGTGTTCCCATTACAACATGCCCTAGTTTAGAATCTATTTTCGCATCCAACCTAGCATTCCTGATTAGGTTAACAATCCAGCATTCGGCCTCCTCTGGGTTCATATTAAGTTTCTCGGCTAACATACTACAAAATAATAAAAGGATTTAAATGTTATGAAATTATAAATACAGAATATACATACCCAATACTAATGCACTGATGTATACGACAAAAAGTTTCAAAAATCATCAAACGAGCATTTTCTACAAAATCATCAAGGCAAGCAGTCAAGAAGAAATCATTAAAAAGAACATTCTGGCATTCATGTAATTTGTCTCTGGCTCCTTCAAAATCAAAGTTAACGTAGAGATTTTCTAGTAGTTCAGTTATAGGATCACGGTAGGTATATGATTCCTAAATACAGTATTAGTATTAATAAATATTTAATGTCTATAGTAATAAACAGTTCATTTAAACGTTTAATGTTATGAAATTACAATGTTTTTTAAAAAATGAAAATGAAATTTTGAAATGCTGTTAAACTCACTTGTTGAATAACCTTAACAAGATCCTTCATAGCTGCTCTTCTTGAACGATTGATGATTACTGCGGTAGCCAAGTAACGAAGAATGTGTGGGCACATGGTTTGAATAGCATTTAAATAGCTGGTAACAAAATAATTTGTTTATACATACTATTATTTATTATTGCTACTATTATTCACAGTATATTACTTTGGCCTGTACAGAAACATGTCAATAATAAGGTCACGTCCCTTAACATGATTGAAAAACACAAATAGACTCCAGTGAATTAACCATGTCCGTTGTTGTAGTAAATGCAATGGAGAACCATTTGTATTGGAATCAATGTACTCTCGTAGTTTGTTTAAATCTTCAAGAGCAGTTTCCCAGTTTTGAATAAGAATTTCAGATGCTAACTTTCCCCAAAGAACATTCAAGTAGTTCTAAACAAGAATTCAAATACTATAAATAGATTACAATGAATACAATAAGAATTTTACAAATTGATGATTTACCTTATCAGAAGGCGACATAACTAATAAATAAAAGTATAAGTGACTTGTTGTACCAGCGTAATTTCCGCAATCGTAATGATACTTCGCGAATTTGTACATACTTTCCATCATTTCTACTTTAAACTAAATTAACAAAAAATTAAATAGTTGAATTAGAGACTTTTTATGCATTTTACATGATTTTATTTTATTTATCTTAATGGCACTTTCAGATTTTTTCCACTACAATGAGAGTGGTATATAGTTTTATACCACAATTATTATCTCAAATAGTGTTCCAAAATATTTTATGTACTTATGAGCACAATAAACCAAAAATGTTTTCTATTAACTAAGTTTCGTTTTAGACTAAATGGGCTTAAGATTTTAAATGATCACCTTGTATATTAGCAGTATATTTTTATAATAAGGTGATTTATTTTAAATTAGAAAACTCTGGGAAGTGTAAGGTATTAACCTCCCCTCACTTCCCGACCAAAGAAATTTTAGTGCATTTGATATTGTGGAAGTCCCAATAACTCTAGTGTCCATTAATGTAAAAAAATGCAAAAAAGTCTTAATTCTTGGCATCAAAATTCTGATTTTAAGATAGTTGCGATAGCCAGGAAGTTCCATTTATATGGCATATATTAAATCTATATGCATTACTAAACAATCTACATAAATTTAAGATTTTTTACTTCAATCAAATTAAAATTATTTCATTATTTTCAGAAATACATTTTACTTTACTCATATCATTGTATAATTCATTCAATGGTACTTAACTCATTAAAAAAGGCAAATTAAAAAAAAAACCTCAGTTTAATAGAATCTAATACCGCAACAAATCAAATTTCCAAGAATTGGAATTAAAAATAAAATCAATAATTATTTTTCTAGAATAGGAATAACACATACGTTGAATTCATTGGTCAAATAGGTTGACAATGTTTTAGGATCCCTCATAGTTTCCATATTTTTCATGACTTTATCATCTTTGAGTAAATTCATCACAACATCAACTTCACTTTGAAATTGATTAAGCTGCGATACAATTTGATCTCTTCTCGTTTTCATTTCCTAATATCATAATGTTTCAATAAAATTCAATTTTTCATATAGTTTCTCTCAGTAATTAAAGTGGATACATACCTCTGGTACTTCTTTTTCAGGATTCAACTGTTTGTAAATCTCAATTACATAATCCATCATGTTTGTTTTATTAAGAATGTCCAATTTAGCTTGCAAAATTTCATTCTCGTTGTAGATCTAAACAGACATTTTGGGGTCAGTAAAATATTGTACAAGAATTATTTCTGTTTGACGTACACGCACATACTATGAGAGACAATTTGGTTTGTACGACCAAAAATTCACCAAAACGCAATTCTATTGTGTACGGTACTCAAATGGTTCAAGTTTCCCACCGGGTCGAGACTTGAAAAATAGAAAACCTCTTACCTTTTTCGCCCACAAGAACTCCAGTAGCGGGGCGACCAAATGCCGGTCCAGGTATTTGGTCATCTTACTCGTCAAATCGAATTTAGCCATGTTTGTATATGACGACTACTATGAATGTAGGATAAATAAATAACGCAGCGAGTAGTGACTATTTTCCGATGGTGGAGACAAAACCTAAACAATTAAGGACGTATAAAGACGCCGCTACAGAAGGTAAGCTTCGAATAGCCGTGTAGTACTATAGCAGTATAGCACTATAGCGTATGGCTTTCTTTAATTTAATTCGTGGTTCAAATGTTCAATCCAACTCGGACCATGATAAAATATAATATGGTCTGGTGAAAATCTTTATCATCACTCGGCCCAAAGAGAATAAAGAAATGGAAGCGCCTTGTTATCACTATATCAGCATTGCAGATACGCCTATAATTGTCCAGTGTTGCCAGGTCTGATTTTCACGAGTCTATAATCCCTGGACATCGATTTCATTTGTTTTATCGCCAAATACCTAAAATAATAATAATAATAAGAATATGAAGTATTTCCGGAAAGAATACGTCATTGTCTAACACTGACGAGACTGCTAAAGTTAACAATCGTCTAGTGGTATGGGTGTCACACTGTCACGTATACATACAGTCGTCATGAGCATAGACTTCTTTAAGTCTATGGTCATGAGACATGAGTACTAAAAGTACATAACTATTGAATATTGTAATCTGTAAGACCACAGAAATATAGAATCATAGGTTTAGTAGGTTACATTTATTAAATTATCTATTAAAAAACATGACATTTTTTAGTATTTGACATTTGTACTCATTTGGCTTCACTAAGTACACTACATACACATTTTTTTTTTCCATAGTCAAATCATTCCAGTGATTTCAATTTCTAAATTTGACGTTTGTTCCAATGCTGTATATTTGTTCAAAAAATAAAAATTTTCCAATGAACAATTTTAGATATTCTGAGAGGAGCGGTAAATGTATTAATTTTACAATGATATGTGTTTTTTTTTATTTATTTGTGCCAGATATCATCTTTTGAGGCAGTAAAAATGCTTCGATTTTCTTCAACAGCATCATTTCTGGAAGAAAAGAGAATCTATAGTTGGTACTTTGTGAGGTCAAAAGTAAAAAATACAATAGTTTTCAAAAGCGGTAGGTAAAACTTGAGATTTTAGTGACTAAAAAAAAATAACCGTATACAAATTACATTTTCAGTTTTCACTAAATGTTTATATATGTAATTTTTATGTACCATAACATTTTCGAAATATTGCAACCTTTTCTGAGCTATTTATGCGCATAAAAAAGAAAAATTCTAGTTTTATTGGTTTTTTTAAAATTATTATCGTTACAAAATTTTTCGTTCGATCAATAAACTTGTAAATGTAAAACAAGATGCCTCGTAAGTTGTCGTTAAATTTAAAAAAAGGATGAGAGTTTATGTTTAGAATTTTGACAAAATTCATAAAAAACAGGACTACAGGAGTTAGAAATTCGTAAAAAAAATTTTTTTTATGTCTAAGATTTGAAAGTTTAAAACAAGGATTTAATAGAAGATTCCCCTTAAGTTTCCTACATTTAACAAGAAAAAAAGTTTACCATTACCGAAAAGTCAATTCATTTTTTACGATCGTTTGAAATTGACATTTGATATTCATTCGTAAATAAAACAAATTCTCATACAACGTTTTTCTTATTTTGTTATTATTCAAAAAAAAAAATAATAAGCGTAGTTACTCAATTCATCAAATGTTTATTTTATCACTTTCTTCGCATAATAAAACTTCATAATATTTTGACGTTCGGGCTTTGGAAGTTAGAAATTTTGCGTTCATTATGCATGAGCGCAATGCTGCGTTTATCACGTCTTTTACGATTCTTTTGATTTTTTCTTGAAACTTCGTATATTAATGAGTGAAAAACGATGGTGCAGTCAGAATGCCCATAAACTACGATATAACCTACCCTTTGAATTGTGACCTACTTTAGGTGGTGTTGCATAGCAAGTCGAGGGATATTTTCGATTTGCGGAGCGAAGCGACGGCGCCGAGGAGAGCAGCGACGAGTGCCGCTTGGTAACTGTGTAATCACTATAGCGTTGTGAGTATGCGTAAAATACACAACATTTCAAATTTCCAAGACTGACTACTTCGAAACTAAGACCGAAAAATAAATTCTGACAGCAGCAGCGTTCTTAACTCATTAATATACGCTAGTTTCAAGAAAAAAAATTAAAAGAATCATAAAAGACGTGATAAACGCAGCGTTGCGCTCATGCGTCAAAAACGCAAAATCGCTTACTTCTAAAGCACATAACTTGGAAACTAAGTCCGACCGACAAATTCTGATTGCACCATCGCTCTTAAATGATTAATATAAGTAGGTTAGTTCCAAAAAAAATCGAAAATTTTGGGTGGGGCGGTAAAGTGCATTTGTTCCATTTAATATAAGGTTCCTCATAAATAGTTCATACTGTAAACAAAAATTCTAAAAAACACAACTCACAGTTTTTTTTTATATACATTTTAAGTTCAAATGTTGACAAAAATACACATTAAAACCAAAAATAACGGTTTTAATTATTTTGTTGTAATTTAAAAATATTATTTGTCGGTAAATGAAACTTGTATAGTATACTATTGTATTTTATAAGCACAATGACATTTTTTAGTAATATTATGGGCTGACAGACCGTCTTTGCTCAGAATCGTTATTCGTATACAATAATTTTATATTTTATATAAATGAGTTCAAATTTAACTCATCCATTTCAGTGTCTCTGTAGAAACTTAATGTAGGGCAGAACATTACCGCATTAACCGCTTTTTCCAATTATCTTTTCACAATTTCACATATTAATATGAACGTTTATTTCCATAGACCTATTAACTAGTCTATGTTTATTTCATAATTTACTTGTTGTACAACACATTTAGACCAAATGTTCATTCGTACCACAGACGTGGTCAAGTTGGATCATAACGTCCTTAACCATGGTGGAGCAAATCCAAATTCACTTTGGTTCTCAACATGTTCCTTATCATAAATACAATGATAACGTTACCCCATCAAATTTCAATTATCAATCATCATTCATCATTAAAGGAATTCTTCTATCGAGTGCCGGGACCTTTAAGAAATATGTCGAAGAACAAATTAAACTTGACTCTTCCTCCTGGTGTGGCTGACAACCAGCAGCCTGTGTCACCATCTGCACCATTATCGGCAGCATCAGACGCAGGGTAAGTAGACCATAAAGACAAAAATTGCTTGTTGAGACTAGTTGGTTTCGTTAACATAATTTTTGTGTACATTATAGATGTGACAAGTTAAGCGTAGCAAGTCTACAAGAACAATTAGACAGAGTTGGAATGGATGACGAACAACGGAAACGAATGGAATTATTTTTATGTCAAAAAGAAAAAATTGGGGGTGAGCTTAGTGATGCAGACTTTGAGAAAATGAAAGATGGTGAACTAGGTGCTGGCAATGGTGGAGTAGTCATGAAAGTCAAACATAAGTCTAGCGGACTCATCATGGCCAGAAAAGTAATAGAACTTTCCAAACTCAATTGATATCCTAATGTATACAATTATTTTTTTATAATGTATAGTGTTGTAGACAAAATTATATAATACATAGCCAAGGGTATTATATAATTTCTATGATTTTTGACACCTCACTTTAATTTATATAAATATTAATACCTTGTTTGTAGCTCATACACTTAGAAGTAAAGCCTGCAATAAAAAAACAAATCATTCGGGAACTTAAAATTTTGCATGAATGTAACCATGCACACATAGTTGGTTTTTATGGAGCATTTTACAGGTAATTATCTTAATGTTAAGGATTAATGAAAACAATAGCTTATTGTATTTACATAATTACCATATGGTTATAGTGATGGCGAAATTAGTATTTGTATGGAATACATGGATGGTGGTTCCCTTGATCTCATATTGCAAAAGACTAGAATACCTGAGCCAATGCTTGGAACTATTACTGCTGCTGTACGTCCACACCGATAGTTTTTAGATATGGACAAAATAATTTATTAGCCACATTTTTTTTATTTCTTTAGGTTGTCAAAGGTCTGATTTATCTACGAGAACAACATTCCATTATTCACAGAGATGTCAAACCCAGTAACATTTTGGTAAACAGTGCAGGGGAAATTAAGATATGTGATTTTGGTGTGTCCGGACAATTAATAGATTCAATGGCTAACTCTTTTGTCGGTACTAGATCATATATGTCTGTAAGTAATAAAAAAAAAAAACCTTAATAAAATTTTACTTTACATTTTTATAACTTATTTTATTGAACTTAATTTTTAAGCCTGAACGACTACAAGGTACACAATATACATTACAAAGTGATATATGGTCCTTGGGGTTATCTTTGGTTGAAATGGCCATTGGAATGTACCCCATACCCGCACCTGATGCTAAAACTCTAGCGTCGATATTTGGCCCTAGATCTCAGGCGACTGAAACAATAGAAAACATAGAAGGAGATGTTTTCGGTAAGGCAGTTTTAAATATAACTAACATATTTGTAATATATTGAGAAATTGAAAATTGAAATGAATCTTCATTCGGCGATTTAAAATTATTTTTTTATTGTTTATAAAATACTTAAAATATTTTAAAATTTAAATATTAACTTGTTTTAACTGAGAGTTCAATTGACTTTTATAGTTTTCTTAATTTTTCAATATAATTTTATTTTAGCAAACGGAAATGGACCTAGACCAATGGCCATTTTTGAACTCCTTGATTACATTGTTAATGAACCACCTCCAACATTACCAGCTGGTATATTCTCTGATGCCTTCAAAGATTTTGTAGATAGATGCTTAAAGAAAAATCCCAATGAGAGAGGAGATTTCAAAATGCTTATGGTAAGATATAATTATAAATTATTACTTAATATTAATATCTGTTCTAATGACTGGGTTTGGATTTAGAAGCAAAATCATGTTTTGAAAATTCCTTGAATTTAATTACGTTTCATACCATTTTTATTATACTCAATTTATGCTTCAACATTAGGCAATATGTATCCTTAAACAATTTTGTTATTTGTTTTTAGTTTGAAAAATTGTATAGTCAAATTAAATTTTATTTTTATTTTTTCTATATTATAATTATCATGTCATCTGCATCAGCAGAAAATAAAATTGTATTTTAATTATCATAGGTACTTGACTAAAAATGGTTTAGCTTCAAAAGTATTAAATTTACCTTGTATTAGATTTTTCCAGTTGAAAAATATCAAAGCTACACTCACATATTTTTTATATGTGTTTAAAGTTAAACAAAATTCATCAAAATTGATATACTGCATTGTATGTACATAGTATGCATTACAATTTGAATTATTAAAGTTTTTGAATAAAATTATAAAGGTTAGTACAATTAACAGTATGATAGATAGGCTACATACAATTTATCAAGCTTGTAAAATTTATTGATTATCCAAATAAAATGTATTACTAGTCATAATTTTAACATTAGAAAGTGTAATGCTTAATTATTTTTTTTATGGCTGCCAAAAAGTAATGATTATTAGGTATATAATTATGTATGAATTAAAGCTTCGAGACATGACCAATACAACATTGACACATATTGTCTGATAATGATAGTAATTTCTATATTTGTACTTAACAATAAAGCCAATAACACTTAAATTAGGTAGAAAACAATGTATCAATGTGTTGATATAATATTTTCATATTTTATAGGATCATCAATGGATAAAGAAAGCGGAAAGTGAACCAGTTGACATTGCTGGATGGGTTTGCAAGATAAAAGGTTTAACTCCAACTACTCCGACCAGAATGGCTTCGAATTCAGCCTCATGAGTCTGCTCACTGCTCCTAATACAAAGGCTCACTGCTGTGGACTCCTATTTAGACAGAAATGTCTAAAGGTGTGCCCCTCCCAAGCTTAATATAATATAATTGCTTTTGCCAAGAAATTGTTTTGATCGTATTTATATAGCCTTTGATAGGGTGGTAATTATATATCATATAATAATTATTAATTAGGAAATTAAATGTAATTTTAAAATATATTATAGGGATAATTAATAACTAATAATCCCAAGGGTGTTTTTTTTATAAACTTTTCTACGTGTATTGTGTGTTGAAAGCATTTATTTCCATTTCTATTGTTATATTCTATTGGTTTGTTGTATTTTTTAACTTTATAGCCTACTTGCCTTCCTATTTTCACATGCTTAAGTTGGTTAAGGATAGGCATAATATGCATTATTATCTTGGAGTTGAAACGCACCAAGCTTAAAATATTAGTTGTATAAGTATTGAACAAATTAATAATTATAGTCTATTAAATCAAATTAATAAGTTTTTTTTTTTAAATTAATCTGTGTGGTCTATTTTGCTTTTAATTCTAACATTTCCAACATTATTAATTCAGTGATTTTTTGTAAGTTTTTTTTACTGTTATGTAGATGATTAGCTTTAACATTTGTATTGTATTTTATTTGCTAAATTTAATTTTCCAATGTAAATACATTTATTTATTTTAAGTTCATAAGTTGTTCCTGCTACTTCAGAGTGCACCCTTTTTAACCCACTTTTTTCTTCATTTTACCATGATCCATTCATTAAAGTACCAGTGTAGGTTTATGCAATTGCTTTTAGTAAATATTTGGGAATTTTATTTTTTAATTGTTTACCTGTATGTTCATTGTTTGTTTATATTATGATGTTACTTTATTTATTTAAATGTAATAGTTAACATAGACTAGTACTTAAAAATGTAAATTAATCAAAATTACATTGAATGTCTTGGCATATCATTAGGCCAATGGGAGCCGTAGTAGCAGGAGCAGTAAACTATTTATTACTATACTATAATATTTAATGACAAAATATGTGGATGAAAACCATATGTCATATGTTTTATTCCTAAATATAATTATTACTATTATTCATACTATATAATGTATCATAGAAAAATTTTAAATATTTTTTTTTAATTTAAATTAATAAAAAAATTATAAGTATTCAGTGGAAGTATTTAGTAGCTTAATACCTATACCCGGGAATTTTTCATTGCCTCCTTCATGTGTAACATGTTATAGTTTTTATTCTATTCCATCAAAAAAATGTCTTTAATAATAGCTGTAAGAATTATCCTTCTATTTTTGTGTAGACCTTGAATAATATTTTTGTACTTAAAAATAACATAATTAGTAACTAAAAAAATTATAGCATTAATATCCTTGATAATATTATTTAGTGGTGTATGTATGGAAAAAAATCAAGGTTTAAGAGTGTGTCTAATTTATATCCGTATCAAAATCGTATGTATAAAATAAGTACAGATTTCTTTTATTTATAACATTATCGTTATGACTGGATATAAATGTGTAATGAATAATCCTTGTGTAAAATGTATTCAATGAAGTACATTTGATACCAATTAACTATTCTAAACCTTGACGATTTATTTGCAATAGCATACACAAAATTTAAAAATCTAAGGAGAAGTGAAATTTATATCACATAAGAAAAAATTTTAGTCTTCACAACTTCACATTCAACATAATGTGATCAATGACAACAGATTCAACATATTTACATATCCCAATTTATATTTAAATATATTTTTATTAAATAATTTCTGAACATTATAAGTTTAATTAATTATTGTCCTAAACTATACTTTTTAAAATTGACCTAATTATTTTGTATTTTTATTACACAAGTCACTTTATATAATATTTTCTTTTTTTTCTTTCATAATAGTGGTTTTTGCCTTATTTTATATTTATCAACATCTATATTGCTTTTTTATATTTAAAACTATTATTTTCATAAAACAAACGATACCAGTGGAAGGGTGTAGATATAAATTTCCTTTGGGAGCGGTTTAAAATAAGAATCACGATTAAAGATAAGTCAGTCGCGGTAGAAACTATGGGAACATAAAAAGAGAGGTTTGAAAATTAATTTTATCTAATGTAGGTACATTTAGTTTTAAACGGTATGAGGGAGTTTAACCCCCCCCCCCCTACATAAGACCATGTATCAGTGTATATAATATTTATAGCATAGTAGACTATAATTCCATAATATGGTTTTTTCTCTGTGAGTGAGTTGCCCTACCTACTATCAAATTAAATTTAGTAAGAATAATTAAAATAAACATACTTACATTTTTATGTTTCAAAGTGTTTGCAAGATCAGTTTTCTTCATATGGTTAGCCCCTTAAAAATATAATAAATAACTATAATTAAAAATTTTTAGTAGATTTAAATGTGACAAGTTGGTTATTTCATTTGAATTGTTTTCAATAGAAACTCTTTAGCTTAAATGTATATTATAAGGTAATGCTCATTGTAAACATGGCCAACCATGGCTGTATTTATTTATGGGCAGTAGGAACAGTAAATAAAATAATACCTAAAAAAACCAATTTTTCAAAGGTGCAACTACTATAAAATAATATTTAACATTTGATGTTGAATTATTGAAATCGACATTGATGATACGATCATATGACTACTGAGATAAATTCTTGATTAGTGTTATTTTAAAGCTATAAAAATAAACTATTAAAACTAAACTAAACTATAAAAATTAAATCAAAGTTAAATTTATTTTTGTTAATTACCAGAAATGGGTCAAAAATAACCATTTCTATAAAACATTTGTAATGTCCTAAAACATAAAAAGCCGAACCATTAAAAGAAAGGTGGATAAGTCTTTTTGTATTACAATTTACAACAAAATATCAAAAATCAATTCGTTGAATTACCGATGAAAATCCAATATAGTACAAATTTAAAATTCTAACCCTCATAAAAATTAATCTTATATTCAGAAAAATTGTTTGTTAAAGGTAGAATATTTGTGTGGAATTTTCTATTAAAATTTATAAACTTAGCTAAGGACAGAAAAACTTTTACAAATTTCTAACTGAAAAGTAATTGGAAATGTTCGATATTTTGATAAATGTTATCAATATTAAAACTTTAAATTATAAAAAAATAAAAATATTCGTGAGAATGAATCCTATATTTTTAAATTTCAAATTAAATAAACTTACGAAGAACCATGTGTAATGATATGCTCACACATCATTGTAACAATTATTTAAAATGTAACAAACAAATAAATAACTGCCAGACTGTCACACGTAGAAATCGGAAATCTCCAGACCCCAATAAATCATTGTCACAGACAAAATAGTCTAATTATATCATACGATCAGGGATTAAGAAATCGACACGTACCTATGTTTGCTATTGTAGAGCTTAGGACTTGTGGCTTTCTTACATGCCGCCGGAGAAAAGGTATGGTAATAAAGGTCCTTGTCACAGAAGAGAAATCGGATGTACAAAACAACCTTTTGATGAAGCCGCCTATCACTCTCTGGTCGGCACAACCGGATCGTCCCTTCGGTAGTGCATGAGCACCTCTCTCCAATTCAACAACCTCTCACGCGTGCAGGCGCACCACCAAACAGATTAACAACCTCTCTATACCGAATTCTACGAGCGACATCTGGACTCCTTTTGATGATCAATAATCAGTGTGTTTCTTTATTTTTATTCGAGTATTTTAAATAATTAATTTGTGTCACCTAAAACTCCTACTGCATAACCCAGAGACAGCTGCGAGTCATATTATAATAATAAGACATATTGGTAAGACATATTATAATATAAAATATAGTATTATTGACTGCATTATATTAAATTATATGCGTATACCATTTACATTTATATCGTACAGTATATTTGATCAAATTCTCGAATACACGACCTCGAGAGCCCTCCGACGATCAGGAGGAAGGTAATAGCGCAAATTGAGATCATTTTAAATATTAGTATCGGTAGGCGTCGTATTAATATTCACGGTGATTCTTATCTTATTTTAATCTTTTATAATTTTCGTTTATTCTATTTTTGCGTTATTACACTTGATTCTATTGCATTCAATTTTCAAGCTATCTTACTAAGTAAATAAAAAAGTTTTTATCAAGAATAATTTTAAAAAATTCGAAAAATTCGAAAAATGTATCAGGGCTATAAATAGAGTCAACATATCTCATGTGTTACCATATATGAAAAATGCCAATATAATTATTTATAACGGTTATCCGTTAATAAATCAAGCCAAAAAATTGGATTTGCGTAAAAAATACCTTTCTTTTGTTTTCTTAGAAGCTTTCGAAAACTACAAGGAATTTTCGGTTTCTCAAACCAAACTTCTAAAGACTACCAAATAGATTCACATTTCTATCAGAAAAGATGCTTTTTTACAACCCTAAATGTTGATGACAGATTGAAACACATGAAACACATGGTTGTAAATACAGAACATTCATTCAATACGTTCAGAATCTAAAAATGTCCAAAAAAAATCGTTTGAATAGTATTTATAGTTGAAAGTTTGAAACACATATAGCTTGTAGCTTGGAAAGCATCACGCCAAAGTATCACAATAAAAATACTGAAATGACCTAGTATATGTTGACTGGATCTTTTTTTTATTAAATTTTTGTTTTTTAGAACTTCCAGTATACAACTATTATTGTTCGACAATTATTACAATATATATATATATATATAAATATATAATGTAGATAAGGTTTACAATAGGTAGTAACTTATTATAACATAATTTAGATAATTAGGTAATTAGATAAGAATATAAAATGAATTGATACAATATATTATGGTGGACGTATAACGCTATATGGAATTACAAATTACCTTTATTTTTAATAAAACCGTTAGGAGAGACAGGAGGGGTTTTATGATTGCAGTGAATTCGGTAATAAAAGATGTAAAAAAAGTTTCTATATTAGGAGATAAGTGGGAATGGTTATGATTGGAGTAAGTAGCTTCGGCATATTATGGTTTATCGGTATTGGAATTTAAGGTGGATTTAGGGAAGCTTGTATGAGATTTAGGAGTAGATATGAAATGTTCACGACGAGTTTGTCTGGATCCTACTAACCCATAACATAGCAAATCAAATGTTCAGAAAAATGTTACTGTGTTATTTTAATACAAGAGTGAATTGTCCTATTAGGTACCAGTGGCGTCATTTTAGGGCATAAAATATTTTTTTTTTTTTTTTGGTGGGTGGGTCTACATACTATTTAAATCTGTTAAATGTTAATGCTCTCTTGTTTTTAATGCATCTATAGACCGCCAAATTGTAGGATGCATTCATTGCATTCCATTTATAAGTGATGTGAAACAATTGTGCCGTCCTTCTATAGCATTATTTTTGGTAGCTATATCTTGGATTATTCTTGAACAGTTCCATAATTCTATTGCATATTTTGGGGGGGCTATCGACATTTTTTTTGGGGGGGGGGCTAAGCCTTCAATTGTCCCTATGATACTTATTACATAAATTCTAAAGACTAAACGATCACTTTTAAAATTAAAATTTATTATTGATCTGACTGAAATTTGACAATAGCCACTATTATTTTAAAAATCACAGAACGTATCTTCTGAAAGTAAAATTCGCCATGTTTTGCATATTGAATTAAGATAGAAACAACAAATGTGAGTACGACGCGATGTACTGTTACTCTTGACAATGGATCCCCAATGATTAAATAAAAGTTAAAAATAACTTATTATCAAACCAGTACTTAAGTACCTATATAATAATAATATGACCTAATACAAAATTAAAACAACAGCTACTTCGTATTTAATTTGTACCTATGTAATTGAACGTTAATATAACATGACCATTGGTTGTTTTATTAAATGTAGTGAAAACAGCAAATGATTAAAACATTTAAATGTAGGTAGGCACTAGGCACTTGTGTTTCAATTTTGAATGGTAATTAAAAAAAAACCATGAAATTGAAAAAAATGTATTTCTATATTTTATGAAAACCTATTGAAAAATATTATAACTGGACTCTGGAATAGATAGTAAATTCTTATCATTCAGTAATTTAATGACTTTTATTTAAAGTATTACCATATAGATACATACATAATTATAATTACTATTTAATTCAATATTAGTTATTGTGACTCTATTTAGAAGTTAGTCATTGGGTAAATAGTAAGGTAGTAGGTTAGGGGTACCTTATGGCTAATGGCTTAATTTTATTCAAAAACTAAACATCTATTAGTTGAAAAAATAGAGATAGACTACACTGCTACTGCTACATGGCTATTCTATCATAGTAAACTATAATGGCTCATTATGTGTTATATAACTTTGATCTACAGTCACTAAGTTTATCAACTTGGATCTTATTATTGTTATAATTTATTTCTTTGAAAAAGATAATGGACTCCACTGAGAATCTCTAGTTATACTTTTCTTGAAACTAAAAGTTACCTATTATAGTAGATATACCCATATCTATATAATATTACAATCGAGGCGTGTAGCAATTCAAAATAAAAACAGATTACTATTAACTGCTATTATCAGTTATCCCATTGACTTTTGTACTTAAAACTGAAACATTGTCCTGCTATTCATTTACATCGAGTTAGTATTTTCGAAAAACATTGAATGATAACTATGTAATCAAACGAATAAATATAATGAAATATAATTGTAAGCGTGTTATAACACAATATATAATATAATTTATATATAACGCGTACCTATAGAAATGTACATAATATATATATGTGTATTGTATACCAATAATTATGATAGTTATTTTAACAGTCGTCGTCACTTCAAGTAAACGAGTTCTCGACGACTAACATATACACAAATCGCCGAACACCTGAAAGCACGATCGTATAGGAATTAGGTAAGTTTACTATCTGAACATAATAACTAGGCATACAGTTACTGCCTGCCCAACTAGTAATTAGAGTCTAATTATTAAACTATTGTAGACTGTAATTATCCTACCGTTGCTGTGGGAGCAGACATTGTTTAATGTAATTTATAGATTAGTTTTAATTTTTTTATCAATATATATGTTACGGGCAAAGTGGAAAATTCGGGCAATGTATACAATGCCCGGGCATTGTACACAGTGACCGGGCATTGTATACAATGTCCGAGGTATATTGGGCAATGTAAATTGTGAAGTACTTATACAAATAATCTGCATAATATTATTTTACCTAATCAATGATATTATATACTAATAATTATTATACTCGTTTATATGATTATTTATAAAAGAGTATTAGAATTTTTTTTTAATTAATTAAATTTTAAATGTATTTAAAGGTAATGCAATAAAATATTATGTGCATAATGTTCAGTTATATGATATTATACATGAAGTTCATTTGTCAATTGGACATGGAGGTAGAAATAGAATGGAACACGAGATTAATAAAAAGTACAAAAATATAACTAGAGATGTAATAATGTTATACTTAAATAATTGCAAATCGTGTAAAAAGAAGGGAAGTACAGCTAAAAAAGGGTTGGTTGTAAAACCAATCATATCTTCTGAAATGAATTCTCGCTGTCAAATTGACTTGATCGGCATGCAAGCACAATCAGATGTCGATTATAAATTCATATTAGTTTATCATTATCATCTAACAAAATATATTATGCAGATTATTTGTATAAATACTTCACAATTTACATTGCCCAATATACCTCGGACATTGTATACAATGCCCGGTCACTGTGTACAATGCCCGGGCATTGTATACATTGCCCGAATTTTCCACTTTGCCCGTAACATATATAAGTATATGGCTTTGGCTTACATATATATATATATATGTAATTATTATATATTATTGTATATATATATAGTATACTTTTATAGTTTTTGGTTTAGAACTTAAGATTCTAGATTGACATTAATCCTAAATTAATTTCATTATTAACTGTTTGTAGTACTTATGCCTTATGCCTATCCGTACAAGATACAATCATATTTGACTTTAGTATAACTATAGCTTTACGCATTGGCAATTTGGCATGTTTTCTTATTTATTTTCGCGACATTTATTCTTATGTTTATCATAATATGAGTCATTTTCCATGTTAATTAGCTTAGGTGTATATATTTTTTTAATGAAAACTTCTTCTATTTTACTGGCATTGCAGTAATACACAAATCGCAATTTATAGTAATTAAATGATAATATTAAAGTTTTAAGTTAATTGTTTATGAAACCACACAAGGCATAACACTTAATTTATTTATTTCTGTTTATGCATTTCAGTTACTTAACTAATCACCACATTTCTTTCTTTACTGAATACCTACTTCAGACGGTTGAATGTTTGTTATGGGACATAGTTATAAATTAAAATTATGTTTTATGATATTTAATAATTATTATTTTTAAAGTTATAAAAGTAATTATATCACAAAAAAATGGGGAAGTCGCTCTACAGTGGAGTCTGTGGGTGCCGACTGTCAAATGTACCTCATCATTGAGTAGAGTAGGTCACTATAAAATGAATGTATTTTATTTGAATTCAATGATAATTGATAAACATTGCATACAAAAATTGATTCTGAGCTGTGACGGTCTATCAGCCAATATTTTAAAGGATTTTTTTTATTTTTTACCCGCTTCCCCCCACCCCAACAAAGTACCAACTAGATTCAATTTTCTACTGGAAACTACCCTAAATATTGTAAGACCAATACTTACATTAATCTCTCCGCTCTGAATCTAAATTTTTTAAATAATATGCAATTTAATTCAAGGAAAAATATAAATATGATAGCTGTATGAATATAAATTAAAAATTATAATTTTATGTATTTGTCTAATCTTTACTTCTTATTGTTCAATTTATTGCTATTCGCATGGTCAATATGGTCTCCAACAGATATTTAAAAATTTCAAGTGAAACAACTTTTAATGAGAAAAATTGTATACATTTTTAGTTATTTGTTTGTTTTCACAGTTAAAAATAGTTAAGGTAATTGAGGTCAATATAATTATTCCGATCCGGTATCTCGTATTTTTTTATAATTAGAAATAAATAAACTCAAGTACAACATATACGTATAATAAGGTGCCAAAGCAATATTTAAGTAGTGGACATTAGGGGCCCGAGTCCTCTCCCACTATTTTATGGCTAGCTTAATGTATATATTGCATTTTTAATTTAATTTAATAATAATAATTAATAATTACCAATATAAACGATAATTTTTAGACCTCTTGTGAACATTGCAGGTAATTAATAGTGGTACCTATAGTAGTACTGTATAGTAGCATTGTATTTAATTATGTGTCGTGAACAAATTATACTGAAATTATACATGTTACTAACCTATATGGCTACAGATAATGCTTTGATATTTATAATATATTAGGTAGTAATTACTAATTACACATTAGTAATACAATTTTTTTTAGCAGGTACTGTTTAAATAATTCTAAAACTTATCGATAAAGCTAACAAACTAAGATAACTATAATGGTTAATATTAGGAATCAGGAAGCAAAAAGAAACTAAGAAAAGTTCCACGACTATATTAATTGTACTCAGCCGCTGTCTCTCGAGCCCAAGAATTCCTGGCTCCTGAGTGAAATGTATTGTTTTTGATTGGTTTTTACTGTGATAATATATGCAAGCTTAAAATTAAAATTAGACATCCCGTGTTCGAGTTGGAACGGATCATGAATTTTGTTTTATAGACAAAACCAATTAATGTTATTGACTTTTCATACGATGAGACACAATATTAGTTCAACGAAATCAAACGTACAGACTGTTAATTATTACAGGTAGTTTAGTAAATTGCAACAATTGAGACAAATCCCGTTTAAAATATAAGATAACAACGTGTAACCTATGTAATTTATTATTTATGTAAGGCATATCATACATTTATATATTATACTTAATTATATAAAAAATACAAGCGACTACAGAAGCTACAACGTTTGATTGTATTTGTAACGCCTAACTATTCCCTAAGTCATATATATAATACTTTAAAACCATAGCTGTACCTACCTATTATACTATTGAGATTATTTAATTACTTTTTTATGGAATCCTGTATACTTCCGTTTCAATAAAAATTTTAATATTTCCGTGTCATGTTCACCTGCACATGTTCGGCGGGTATTATAAAAATGAGTTGGTACATTGGTACCCACCCACCTACTTACGGAAAAGTATAAGTTTTCGAACTTACTACTCGCCGTGGCGGACCCCATTTAAATCACTCGTCGAGCCTGCCAGTTTGCAAACAAGTATATCAGGTACATAAACATAATATTATTAATTATTATTTATTATACAGGGCGGGTCTGTACAAGAAACATTTTCCTTTTTATCAACCATCGGACTATCGGAGTAAAATATTAAATAAACGACCGCGGATCCACTAGGCATATTATATTGATGCCTAATACCTCACTGTACCTGGCCGCATTTTAAAATATTAAAATATTTTTATATTATATGATATGCCATAAACTTAATGATTTCGCATACCTTATACCGGATTAAAAAAGTGAACTACAAACAACAAGCTTGATTTAATGGTTTAACACATTGATCATCAACATTTACCATTTAAAATACTAAGTTTTACTTATTTGTACATTTTTTAATATTTAGACGATATGCATGGGACACATAGAAAACCTTCACACAGCTGTTTTTGTATATTTTAATGGTAAATGTTTACTAATATAATATTTTGGATAGATATTTTTACATAAAAAGTATAGTTTTCATAAATCCTTTCAAAATCCATTTTTTTTTTTAGAAGTTTGTCTATTTTTGTGTATGCACAATTTTGGATTCTGAGCGAAGCGACGAACGTATTGATTTTACTATAATGTGTGTGTGTGTATTTTTTTTATGCCTAAATACACTTTTTCTACTAGAAAATATGTGAACAACTTCAATGAAGATTTCTGGTGGTAAATATTGGATCTAGTTGGTACTTTTGAGAAGTCAAAATTGAAAATTCTTATCAGGTTCTTTTTACGTATAAGTTCATGTATTTATATGGTTGTCATTTGATAGCAAAAAGGCGATTTTATGCATTTCGCTTTTTCATACAATTACAATAACACGATCAAATGGTAGTTTGTTTCACTGTGTTCTAATAGTATACTATTATTAGTAAACATAAATACCGTTTATTACATACTTTGTAGAAATAATAGAGTCATATATATTTATAACTATACAAATACTAAGTAGACGCGTTTTACTGCAGAACGTCGATGGACGAAAAGTATAACGACCAACGGTTTGGCTCTTGTTCGATGACATAGCTTTTAAATAAATACATAAAACCTAGTATATGGTTCATAATGTGATACCAATATACAACAAATATATATATATATATTTATAAATGCATTCACTGTATACAGTAGGCGTATTAAATAAATAAATATGAGAATGTGTTACGTAAAATTAAAAACAACGAGTCAATTTCGTGAGAGTCACAGACACTGAGATAACTGAAATATCAAAAACTGGATGACGTGTGGTAAATCCTACATTATGTCATTATTATTCTGATTGTACGAATTACATCTACAATAAACTGCGTACAAGATTAAATATTTGTATAATAATAAATTTATATGTATCGTGTCTTATTACCTAAATAATACTAGTATAGTATTCACATAACTCATATTGGTGGAATACTGGTATAGATATTGCTTTGCATTCACAATATTCTCGTAGTAATAACGATTGTTTAAACCATCTCGCGAGGGCTTGTGTGAAATCAGAAGTATAATTACCCACCCTGCAGACGCCCGAAAAGGTACTGCGGGTGCTGGTACCCCTTACCTCGCCTCTCTAAATACTCACCCAGAGGGGCGGCTT